TTTAAAATCAATTTTTAAGACAAAGTGGTAAGTGAAACATACTAAGTTGAGGTTACGGTCTGGAGAGCTTGAAATGGTAGTTTATGAAGAAGTAATATCTGTCTAAAAAAATCCTTTTTGTTTTCTATCAGAACTTACACTAATTTTATGTCTTTTAAATATGTTTTATATAATGTTAAACTTAATTTTAAATAATATTTTTTGGGGTTAGATTGAACTTTAATAAGAGTCTTGGTATTAAATAAATGGTATTTTAAAGTGCAGGGGTTTTTTAGTTAAAACTTTTTAAATAGAAAAAAATATGGGCATATTTATATATTTAAAAATAGTGATTTAAAGGGTAAAAAGAAGTCTTCACTTCACCCAATTCTCATTTCTCTAATGGTACCCACTATAACAGTTTGTTGTGTTTAAATATATGTACATACATATCTTTATGTGATCTCTCCCCCCCCATTACTTTTATAAAAATGGGACTCTGTGTACAATTTCCCAAACTAGCAAAAGTGAACATGTTCATTTATGTGCCCCCCGGCAAATACTGTCTTTCTGTAACATACACAAGAAGCAAAAGATATAAACTTGAAATTATGCTTAGTTGTCGATGTTTTAGTATTCTCTCTTACTAAGAAATGTTCTAGTGAGCCAATGATTATCAATTAATTCAATTTAATGTTAGTCCAAGGTTTTCAGTTACCTTTAAAGCACTTGGAAATTATCTGTAAGCTGACATATTGTAAAGCATAATTACTATTACTATTGAAATAAAAAGTTTGTCAGAATAATTATTCAATTTAAACACAGGTTTACATTTTCATATTCTTAAACATTGTGTATGAGTAATATGGTTTATTTGGTCAGTAGGCTTATATACTTTTCAGAAAAGTCACTATAATGGAATAAAAATGTATGCTTATATTATACTTAACACTAATAAAAAATCAGAACACAAACCTATTTTATTAAACTAGTTTTGTTTGTCAGACATTTACCTTAATTGTGTTAACTTGGTTTTTAAAGCCTTTTGAGTTAGTTTCTATAAGAATAATTTTAAAAAGTGTAACATATTAAACATATTTAAAAGATCAGTTTACTTATTTCTTGCAATTTTGGTAATATTCAGTTTATATAAGTGCATATTTATAAGCCAATCAGAACAGAGTTGCTTTAAGAAACTTTGTAATAAAATTTATTAGTACCCTGTGGAGATATTATAGAAAAGCATTATGTATTCACAATAAAAGGTAAAGGACCTTTCTGAATTACAGACACACAGCCCTAAAGACACTGAGAGAGTTTATTGCTTCCAATTCTATAATTTTAGCCATGGCTACAGAGTTAAAATACAGAAACACAAAACTTGACCTGTTCAAATACCAAAGAGCTATTTTCCTTCCTGTTGGCATGAAATTGATTTGAACTCAAAATAGGTAAACAAAAGAGATAAATGAACAAACAAGTGACTAATGAATCACAGTCTCCTTTTTCTCTCACCCAACACAGACTAGATCTGTGTAAACCATTAATTTGTTCACAAAGATCACTAAATAGCAGTCTATAAAATCAAATTCTGAATCATTATTATCACCAATGGGGAATAACTTATTGATTATAAGTAAATTAAAACAAAAACAGAACAAAATTGTAAGAGAGGGAAGTTAAAATAGAAAGACAGAGTTAGCAAAGTTCTATTGCTACTTTTGATTCACTTCTGGAGGACAAGAAGAGGCATGTCTGGACTTAAGCTGCCTGTAAGGTATACCGCTATGGCAGAGAAGTTACCCAGCTCTGTCAGGCAGATCATCCACTGCGTATCTTGGTGGAATCTCCAAAACTGTTAAAAGGATAAATTTTAGAGGATAATAAAATCATGACTCCCATTCAGATATCAAACGAATGCATTGAAGATATTATTTATCTCATTATTAACAAGGCGGTCAGAGAGATGTTATAGCTGGTTCAAAGGAGAGTGCAAAGAACAGATAAATTTACAGATCAGGAATATTGAAGCAAATTTGCAAATGTATGTAAAGCTGGCTTCTTCCACAGTGGTGGAGGGAAGTCAGTTGAACTGGACAGAGTATATTTGCGTGTCTATAGATAAGAATTGTTTTCATTATTGTTAGTTCTGCATGTTAACCTGTGTCTTTACAGAGTGGTAAAATAGCCCAATGATAATTCCTGTAGGATTAAATTATTCTTAGAGGCTCCAGCATTTCATCTGAAGGATATTCAATAATCTCTTTTGCTTATTCTAGAGTCATGAAATTTTCTTTACAAAGTGATTTTTTTTTTCCTGCCTGTATTCCTGGAGAATTATTTCTTTGTTTTTGATATTTTATCAAGTTAGCCTCGATATGTATTTGGATCTGTGGTTTAGTTTTCTTTTCCTTCTGTAGATTTTTTTTCTTCTTTATTTTAGGGATATTTCTATTATGTCTGTTTTTTCTCTTCTGTTTGTTTAGTTATTCTGCTTCAGGGATGCTAATCTTTCTGTTCAATTTCTGTCATACATCTTCTGTCTAATTACTTTGATATCTTTGCCTTTTTTCTCCTTCCTACCCAGATTATCTTAAAATTTTTGTTCTTAGCATTAGTTTGCAGTTTGATTTTCAGTCTTTGGTTGTTTTTTTTTTTTTTGCTTTTTTCAAATCCATTGTTCTGAATTGATTTCTGTAGCTCTATAACTTTTCAGTTTACCTGTTTTGCCTTTCCAGCTTTGAGCTTTTGTTTTATTAAATGTATGTTTTTATTATGTTGTTCTCTGTTACAAAGAACTCACTGGGGGTTTCCTTATTTTCCTTTTGATGTTTTTCTTTCAGACTGGATTTCTTCCTTTGTTTTGCATACTGTAGTCATTATTTGTTTCTCCCCTTCCTTCCACCCTCTTGTCTATACAGTTGAGTGGCCATTTTTTTTTTTATCTTGCTAGGTAAGGACTTGGATAGCTTGATCAAGACTTTTTCTTTGCCGTGATATAACATTGAGTGAATTCCCCAAGACTTTCACACCTTAGCTGTGACTTTGTTTCCTTCTTTTATTATACTTCATCTCCCTGAATATACCTTTTGAGCGTTTGTGTTATTCTGTGTCTGCTTCTCTTTAGTGGGAGGGTGGCGTTGGGGGAGAGCTTTCCCAGTGCCTCAGGCTCTCCTGTTTCCTTAGATCAGCTGTTCTCAACCTGTGGGTCGTGACCCCTTTGGAGGTCGAACGACCCTTTCACAGGGGTCGCCTAAGACCATTGGAAAATAAAAAGATATTTACATTACGATTCATACAGTAGCAAAATTACAGTTATAGAGTAGCAACGAAAATAATTTTATGGTTGGGGGTCACCACAACGTGAGGAACTGTATTAAGGGGTTGTGGCATTAGGAAGGTTGAGACCCGCTGCCTTAGATACTGGTGAAGTGTCCCATACTGTCCTCACTCCATCCTGCTGAAGGTGTATCTTTCTAGGGCTTTCAGACCCTTCCATCAACAGAATAATGCCTTGGAAATCAGCGGGCTTTGGTGGCCACTCTGCCTCAGCTGAGGTTTTAAACTTTCTGTGCTGAAGATATTTTCCCAGAGTTTTCTAGGTCATGTCAAATTGGATTTTTCTGTCCAAACTGGAGGATATACATTAAAAATTTCCATTTTTAAAAACTCACCTATTTTTCTCATTACTGCTTCCTGGCAGTGTAGTCAGGCTGGGAGCTGGACCATACTGTACAGAATCTTTCTGGCCACTACTTTTTAAAGTTTAGAGGTTCTTAGTTTAAACAGTTTCTTGTTTGACTGCAGCTAGTGGGTTTTGGCTAAAAGAAAATCATACACACATACATACATGTATATACTTTCTTATTAGTTATTGGGGACAGGAAGTTCTATAATTCGGTTTTACCCCACCATCTTTATTTAAAAGTCTGTATGATTTCCTAAGTATTACTTTTGACATAATAACACATATGTACTCTAGCACCCCTCTTAAGGTCAGGGATGACTTGAAATGAATTTTTTAAATTAAAAAATAAAACCAACTAATTAAAGACAGTGTCGTAAGATATGTAATTTAAGTAAAATCAACAATTCCAAGGCATGTATTTTTCTTTTTTTTGCATTTTGCTCTGTGTGTGTGCTTTCATAGAATTTTTATATAATCACAGTGAATATATAGTTGGCGATCATATTTCTGTTAATTTAGAATAAACATTTTAATTTTTGTCTCATCTTTGTAATCTCATCATATGACATATCATAATTTATTAAATAGTTACTCAAATATAGGACATAATTGTTTCTGGTTTTATGCTCTTGTGTGTGCATTGAGCCTTTTTGTGTTTGTTGTTTCATATTACCTTTAAAATAAATTTGAGAGGTTTAGATTAATGGACTTTACAACTTTATTAAATCATTATACTTCTCACCCTGGCACTAACTCTAGTGCCTGTTCACATTACTGGATGGAAATTCTTTTGAGATTGTTGCTTAAAATTACAGCTGATATATCAGCCCTTAATGCTACCAGACTTTTTGGTGCTATTGTATTCTTTATCTATATCCTTCTCATCACTTTAATAATGAAAGTATAAAAATGTATTCTAGTTTTTATATGTATGCTTTTTAAAAAAACCCAAATCACATCTTTATATTTCTAAAGGAGATAGTATCACCCAAAGTGAAAAAATAATTTGGATTGGAAATTGGAAGATGTGCTATAGAAGTTTTTATTTTATTTTTTTATTTTATTCAGTCTTTGGTAGTCTAAATTTATTATTTATGGATCATGATCTGTAGCCTATGTTTATAAAAGTGTTTATAAAAATGTTCTTTATTTTCTTCTAATATAAAGTTATTAATTTAATTAGTATATTCAGTATTTATTAAGAGTTCTGTAGGAATTATGAGTAGCTTTTGGGCTTTGTTGCATTTAATTATATAAGAATACACATTCACATTATGTAATAATCTATGCAGTTATCCTTAGGAATGTTTAATTTACTTTTTTGTCTCCTCAGATTCTTCAAATTTTAAGAACAAATGCACCTTATAGCTCATGGAAGAAAAAACACAAATCAAGACATTTTTGGGTTCCAAATTGCCAAAGTATGGAACAAAATCTGTAAGAAGTACACTGCATCCAATGCCAAATGGGGCACCTGTTAATTTAATGGGAACTTCCAAGAGAAGCAACATCAAAAGTTACATAAAAAATAATGGCACTGATTGCCCATCGTCCCATTCATTCAATTGGAGAACGGCAACTAAATACCAACTTAGTGCGCAAAGTGCTGAAGAGCCTAATGATACTCAAAGTTCACACAATAAAGTAATTGATCCTGAAAAACATGCACGTACTCAAGGAATGTTTGATAAAAATGGGATAAAGGGAGGTTTGAAAAGTGTTTCTTTATTAACATCAAAGTTAGCAAAGCCATCCACTATGTTTGTGTCATCCACAGAGGAGTTAAAACAGAAGTCTCTGTGTGGACCATCTAATTTGGGCAAATTCACCAAAGGTACATTATTAGCAAGGACTTCATATTCTTCAGTCAGTGCTTCAAAATCTCAGTTGAATGGATTTTACGGAAATAGATCAGCTGGTAGCATACAAAGGCCTAGAGCAAACTCCTGTGCCACCAGAAGCAGTTCTGGAGAAAGCTTAGCACAATCCCTAGACAATGTTAAATCTCTTACTTGTGAAAAAATGGTAAGGTCACAGAGTTTTTCACATTCCATTCAGAATTCATTCCTTCCACCTTCATCTATAACCAGATCACATTCCTTCAATAGAGCTGCAGATCTTATTAAGCCTTACCAGAACCAACAGCTATCCATGAGAGTGCCTCTGAGGTCAAGTATGTTCACAAGAAATTCCCGGCAGTCAGAAGTACTTAATGGGAATGAACATTTAGGGTATGGATTTAATAGGCCTTATGCTGCTGGTGGAAAGAAGTTGGTTTTACCAAATGGTACAGGTGTAACTTCCACTTTGGGCTATAGGAGGATGATTCATCCCCCTCTACTGAAATTGAGCCCATCTCCGTTTTCTGGGACTTTTGATGGTAATAAAAATTCACCTGCTGGCACTTGTGTAGAGGAAGATGCTGCACTTTTGGCTAAGGACAGAGCTACTGATAAGGACCAAGAACTAACTGAAAATGATAGTTATAGAACAGAAAATGACCAGACTATGAAACATGATGCTAAAATTAGATACCTGAGTGATGATGTAGATGACATTTCCTTGTCTTCTTTGTCGTCTTCTGATAAGAATGATTTAAGTGAAGACTTTAGTGATGATTTTATAGATATAGACGACTCCAGCAGAACTAGAATAACTCCAGAGGAGATTTCTCTCAAAGAAGAAAAGCATGAAAATGTACCACCAAAGGATATATTTGATTCCCCCAAGGAAAGTGAAAAATCCTTCAGTAAAACTGATGAGTGGATAGATATAAGTGTCTCTGGTAAATATTAAAATCCTTAACTTTGTTTGCTTTCTCCTAGATAATATAACTGAATTTACATTTAGGGTTATCTTCTGATTAATTCTAAGATACTATCAATTCCATGGAGGGGTGGATCTAGGTAAAATTGGAGTGGGGTAACATTTATCTTTCTTGTGACTTTTACTTCCAGTCCCTGTTTTCAATTTATTTACATTTCTAGAAGTGTTGTAGAAGTGAAAGATGGCTTAATGAATTTTCTCTATGTCTGTTGGGAAACATTTCTGTAGGTTATTTTTAAGATTTTACGCCTTGATGTTTTTATTGTTTAGGAGTTAGAAAATGCTATAGTTATTAATACTTTTTTAGAACCTGAAAGTAATTACATTTTTGTGAATTAATAATTGTTTATTTTTTTCTCTCTTTCAAAAACCAATTGAAGACAGGAGTGAATGTACAAAACATACTTCTGGGAATAACTTGATTTCACCAGATACAGACTACAGAGCTGGTTCTTCTTTTGAACTCTCTCCATCTGATAGCTCTGATGGAACATACATGTGGGATGAAGAGGGCTTGGAGCCCATTGGAAATGTCCACCCAGTTGGGAGCTATGAGTCCTCCGAAATGAACAGCATAGTATGTATGGATTTTTATACCTTTTGGAAAGGTTTGTTTACCTTACTGTAGAGAGACTTGTGATATTGATTGGATTATGTTTAAGTTACTGAATTAGCTCTCCTACTTTGAGAAATGAAAATTCATATCTATTAAGGGCTTATAAATCATCTGATATTAATACATAATAAAGCATATATTTGTTTCACATGACACTTAAATATACTCCCATACTCATTTGTAATGTATATATACGTATAGACATACAGTATTCTTCAGGTTAAGCTAGGCTAGTGGTTCTCAAAATGGGGGAAGGCAATGTCAAGAGATATTTTTGGTTGTCATTTGAGGGGTGCTACTGGCAAATAGGGAGTAGACACCAGGAATGCTGCTTAATGCCCTACAGTGCACAAGATAGCACCCACAGCAAAGAAGTATCCAGCCCAGGATGTCAGTTGTTCTGCTGCTGTGAAACCCTGAGGTAAACTATGCTGAGGTAACATCTAAATGTCAGTTCTTAGGGGCTTAACACAATAAAAATTTATTTTTTATTCTTACAAGTGTTTTGTAGGTGTGGACAACTCTCTAGGGCAGTTGTCTTCAGTGTTATAAACTACAATATTTTAACCTTGGGGCTTTATCATCTCCTTTTGTGGCCTTGCCACTGAAGTGTCTGAGCCTCTCACACATGCAATTACTTGCTTTGGCCTGCAGATGGCACTTGGTACTTTCACATACAACCTGTGGACCCAAACTATTGTGTTGTCGGAAGAGTCATGACGCATTTTTGCAACGAAAAACAGAAAAGATACGTCATGACTTTTCCGACAATCCAATAATTTTATGTACTAAGCAGGCAGGAAGCAAGAAATATAATTTTCCCGTGTGCCTGGAAGGCAGGGGAACCAGATATGAGTGAGCACTAGGAGACACACTATACATTTATATATGCATCTTTTAGACACATTACAAGTAATGTGGATGACATACCGTATGAGTGAAGTGTAGTTGGTGTGTTTAAAGTGATTCATTGTATATGCTCAATATATAAATTATGATTTTCCAGTATGTGTATGGGGAAGTTGGTAGTCTTCGTGGATAGATTAAATTCCAAGTGGATTTCAGGCAATGTAATTTTCTATACTCATAAACCTATGACTTGGAAAAAATAAACATTGTTATCAGAGGCTTGTTAAGTTGCGCAAATGTAGAGAATGCACACATTTAATTTAGAGAAAGTACCTCCCATTAGATAAAGGAAGTTAAGAAATTAACTAAAAAAGTTTAGGGCTTTATGTGCTTTCTTGTTAACTAGGACTTTTTTAAGCGAATATGATTAAGGTGAAAATTAGCATTGTGTCCAGCAGATGGCAGCAATAAGTCACTTTACCTGATGTTTTTCAGAAGGTTCACCATCTTCAGTTCACTTTTCCTGTAACTTAATGACAAAATAGCTTCTAGAGTTCAGAATGCACCCGGATTGACCATTAGTCTTTAAGCTCTTAGATCTTCTGATCTAAGAGGAAGACAGTCTGAGGAAGGAGGGAGAATTGATGATGCCAAAGTTGAAAAGAGTGTGTTAATATATACTGATAGTGGATTTACCATTTTTGCTCTGAAATTTTTTGCTTTTAATGTTTTAAGTTTTTTTAGTTAGGTGTGTGTCTGTTTGGAATTGTTTTCTTGGTGAATTGGACTTAAAGTCATAAGTTGGTGATCTTCTCTGCCCCTCATTATACTTTCTGTTGTAAGGCCTCTTTTTTCCCAATATCAGTATATTTTACCAGTTTTATTTATATATTTTCTGTCCTCTTATTGTCAGACTTTTTGATACATAGGAAATAGGTTATTATGTTTTTAAAATTGAATCTGTCTTTTTCTTTTAACCAGCGACTTTAGTCCCTTTCTGTTTATATTTATTGATACACTTGGACTTCATTCTACCATCTTATTATTTTATTTAAATTATCTCACTTATTCTGTTCTTTTTCCTTTTTTCTAAAATAGTTTAAATAGATATCTTTAACTTAACCCAAAAAGAACTTTAATGTGTTCTCATTTTTCTTGGTCTCTCCATCACCTCTCACCAAAGACCTTTCCTCACTTTACGTCCCTCCATCCCCCACAAAAGAAAACAAATCAAAACAAAAACACCACCTCGGTTGTTCTTTACAACAGTGTTCATTCTAGTCCAGGTCAACGTAAGGAGCTTTCAGTGGGACGTAAATAAACTGTATCACTACTGACATAGTTTAGTTCAGTTAATACTGCTCTCATAGCAAGACTTTTGCTTTGAGGAAAGCAGTGTGTTGATGTACATTGTGGTAAAGCCCCTTATCTTGTCATGGACCCAGACAACACTTTGTCCACTGACGTCTTTGTATCGCACTGGTTTGGAATCTAGGCTATATATTGTTTATTAGAATATAATTTACATACAATAAAATGCTCAAATCTTTTGCATACAGCACAAGGAATTTTGAAAATTTGTATATACTTGTTTATATCCAGGTGTTTCCTGTGCTTTTCAGTCATTCTCTCAACCCCCACCAGAGGCACAACCACTATGCTGATTTTTATCACTATAGATTGGTTTTGCCTGTTCTTGAATTCCATATAAGTAAAATAATGAACAGGTCTATTTAGTGTCTGGCTTCCTTGTATCAACATTATGTATTTGCTGGTTGTAGTTTGTTCATTTATTATATAACATTCCTTTGTGTGAATGTACCACAGTTTATGTTACCCTGTTATTGATGGGCATTTAGGTTGTTTCCAATTTTGCTACAGGTTTTTTGGTGAACATTTATGCATTTCTATTGATAAAATATGTATGAGAGTAATACCTGGGAGATAGAGTATGCTTATATATAGATTTAGATGCTGTCAGTTTTCCAGAGTGGTTGTACTGTTGTAGTTTACGCTTAAGCTTAAGTAAATAAGTAAATAAGCATTCCAGAAATTCCACTTTCTAGTCAACACTTGGTGTTATCTGTTGCATTTTTGCTATTCTGGTAGGGGTATAGTGTAGTATTGTATGGAGATTTTTGTCTTGTGTTTTGTGATAATTACACATTGAACACCTTCACATGTTTATTTGCCATTAGGATATTTTCTTTTGTGTCGAGCATTCTTTTGGGCTATATATATATATATATATATATATATATATATATATATATATGTATTTTTTTTTTCTTATTGGTTGTAAAAATCTTGCATATATTTTGGATATAACTCTTTCATATACAAGCATACCTCAGAGATATTGCAGGTTAGGCTCCAGACCACCGCAATAAAGCAAGTTCTAATCTGTTTGCTGGTGGGGGCCTGCCTTCAATTTGTAAAAATATGCAACATTTGTGAAGCACAATAAAGTGATGTTTGCCTCTGTATGTGTTTATGTGTGTATATGTTATATATCTGAGTTGCTTTTTAAATCTCTTAATGTCTTTTTTGAAGTTAATAATTTTAATACAGTCCAATTTGCCATTATTCTGTATTGTTAGCACTTTTTTGAACTGTGTGAAATTTTTGTTTACCTTAAAGTCATGAAGATATATGTTCCAGTGTTTTTTCTTCTAAAAGATTTGTTTTCTAACCCTTCACATTTAGAGCTACAAAGCCATCTGGAAATTATCTCTGTGCTTGGTGTGAGGTAGAGGTCAAGATCAATTTTTTTCTGTTTTGGGAAAGTCATCTTTCCCCCCCCACTCTACTGCAGGGTTATTTTTATTATAAATTAGTGACTATTTATATTTCTTGACTCTCTTTTAGTTCATTGGTCTCATTGTTTATCCTGTATCAGCGCTATACTGTTTTAATTACTGTCGCTTTAAAATAAATTATTTTCCTAGGTTTACTTAACTCCGCTTTTTAAATTTATTTAAATATTAAAATGAACTTGTCAGTTTCTGCAAAAAGCCGGCAGGGAGTTTTAAATGGAATTGCATTGAATTTATTGAACAATTTTGGGGAAATTGACATAGTTAATATAGTGAGCCTTCAAATTCAAGAATATTGGTAGTTCCTGTGTTTATTTGGGACTTTAGAAATATTTCTTGCTAATGATTTGTATTTTTCTGTAAAATTTCATACATATTTTCTTTATTTTAGGCATTTGATTTTGTTATAGATGGTACCACTTTTAAATTTTATTTTTCAACTTTTTGTTGTATATACAGATATACTTGATTTTTGTATTTTGACCTGTTTTTCCGGTGATCTTGGTGAATTCACTTATTAGTCTAATAATTTGCCCGTAGATGTTTTTGGAATTTCTACATATACTAAACAATCATACCAATTGCGAAGTCTCCATTCCTCTACCCTTCCCTTTATTGCACTGGTTAGGACTTCTAACATAATTCTGAATTGAAATGGTCGTAGAATTTCAGGAAAGTTTTAAGAGTTCACCATCAAAGTTTCTGTGTGTTTTGGGGTGGGGGGAACGGGTGGTGGGGTGAGTAATAGATTTGATATCTTTCAGCAGATTAAGGAAGTTCTCTTTTATTTCATTTGCTGAATTTTTGTTCCGAGTGAATGTTAATTTTTACCAATGCTTTCTGTACATCTGTTGAAACAATCAGATTATTTTTTTTCTGTTATATGTTTTCTGTTAGTGTGGTTAATTGCATTTCTTGATTTTCAAATATTAAACCACATTCCCATTCCTGGAATGAATTCACTTGGTTGTGATGTGTTATCCTTTTAAATGTTATTAGAATTGATTTCGTACTTAATGCCAGGGATATAGCAAGAGCTCACTAAATGTTAGCTATTTATTAATATTTTATTATCTTCTAGTTTTAATTATTTTACATTTAAAATTTTAATCCATCTGAAGTTGGTGTGACATATAATAACTTACCCTCAGTAATATTCTTCCATAATATACTTGGGGTACTGTGCAGAAAAGACTTCACATAGCAGGCCTGAGATTGCCTACCATTAGAAAGGTCAGCCCTTTCTGGTGAATGGTTCCCCTACAGTGATATAAAACTTTACCTGTGACAAGACTG